AAGCTCTGCATCACAGAGATCCAGATCTTTTCTATTCCACAAAGGATCAATATTCTCTTTATCATCATCATCTTCCTCTAAAACTGGACTCGATTCATCATTTTTCTCAATTCCTTTCTCCTCAGCATAAGGCTTATACTCAACATTCAGATCAAAAGGCGAAAGAGGATTACCGGAGAGTGAATCGGGATCAAACGCCCAGATCCTTTTCTTCGCCGGAAGACAAAGATAAGCCGGATTAGAAGAGTTCTCGGCGTCGTCATCGTAGTCAATACGAGTCTGCTTCCTCTTCTTCGCCGGTAACTGCAACGGCTTCACCTCCGATTGATTCTTCGGTAGCTGTTGATCCATATCTCGCTGCATCAATCTGTATCTTTTGAGAGGAGGTAAGTTTTGAAGCTGAGCATCCATGGCTTCAGATCTCTGGGTTTTTTTTTTTTTAGCTGAAGAGTTTAGGTATGTGAAGAAGAATCGTACATCTCAGAGAAATTAAAAGGAGAATCGAAAATGATTACCTCTGGCGCCTGAATATTTTTGGAAATGGTGTTTAGCGAAACAGTGAGTGGGAAATATTACCCGCGAATTTATTTCTCATTGAAAATTAGAAAATTTCGTTAATTTTTCTTGGTTCATCAATCGAAAATAAAATTCAGAATTTACCCGCCAAGTTGTAATGGGCCTTAATTTGACCCATTGAAGATGTTAATGGGTTCAATTCTTTTTTAAAAGTCTGTCCTTTCCTATTTTCTCAATCTCAAGGGTCAACAACCACTTTTAAGCTGTTGAAAATCATTTCTTTTTTTTTTGGGAGAATAAGAGCACAAGTTACAAAAGGGAAGCAAGCTTCTTTAACTTTCAGAGAGTTGTCGGTAAAAAGATGGACGACTTTTGACATTTTCATCGATGTCCTCCTTGTGATGGCTGCTGCTGTTGTTGTTGTTGCGGATCGTAGCCACCAGTCCACGCAGCGGGTGGTCCATAAGGAGGAGGATAATAATAGCCTTCAACTCCTGCT